GGGGTGCGACAAGGTGGAGTTGACTTGATGGCAGTGAGAGAATCGACACAGAAGTGAGTATTAAGCATAAATTGCTAGGGAATGTGGTCCTAAGTTGATGGCAGTTCCTGTTCTAAGAAAATCCAATTTTAAATAAAACTCAATTTGGAGCAAAAGTTATAAAGGTGATTTTAGAAAGGAAATGAAGTCGGCTAGTAACCAGGAGCCTTATTTAAAAAGCAGACGATTTAAACTTTCAGTGCCTCTCTTTCCAGAGCTACAAAAGAGGAATAAAAGTATCTAACCCTTTGGATTGTTTTGAAGACTACACTGAACCATCCACACAGAACACATGAGGGTCCATGAAGAAGACTTGGCTGTGTCTAGTAGAGGCATAGTGAGTGAACTGGGTTAGGAATGAGGGTGAGAAAGGCTTCTTCACCCCAAGTCAACATTTGTTCCCCTTAGAAAGCGGCTTCCTCGGTCATTAAAAATATCCCTGTGGCTTCCTTCCGTTACAGTCTTGGAAACTCAAGGGACAGTTCAATCCTGTCCTTTAGGGTCACCATGAGTTGGAATCGACTTGATGGCAGTGAGTTTGGTTTTTGGTTATTCCTATTATCAGTGCCTATTCAAGAGCTCCTGTTTTCGTTTAACTAGGGTATGCTAGCTTCTCCTCCACCTCCTCCTCCCCTCCCCACCCCCTGGGAGAAAGATGAGGCTTCCTACCCCTGTAAAGATTTACAGCCTCAGAAACCCAAACGGGCAGTTGTCTTCTGTCCTATTTGTCTGAGATCCCCAAAGAGGCCAAAGACCCTCCTTCTGCAAGTTCTTCCCAAGTCTTTATATTCTGGAGACGATGGTGCAATCGTAAGGAATCTTGTTAAAGGAAGAGAAGCATTCATTATGTCAAATTTGAAACCAACGGCGCTAGACAGACAAAGCCCAGCCTATGCTTTCACAGCCACGCACATGCTTATCTTTAGACCGTCTTTTCATCCTTGCCCCAGCTGCTTCTCTACACCCTAAGGGAGTGACATTGTTGACACCGACTGTGAAAGTTAGAATGGCTTGGATTTCTTTATTTGTTTTCAGCAAGAAAAACGTCAAAGCAGAAACGGAAAGCAGATGTTAGCTCTGCCTGGTGTGGATTGAAACCCACTCTCATGATTTATTAAGGTCCATCGTTTTATGTTACTGATTGCTTAAAGGAAATGTAGAGGGGATGGGAGTTTCCTGATCATTTTTCAGGCTGGGTACTGAGAAGAACTTCAGAGAACAAGGACAGGATTACACGGGGGCCCTCCAGAGGCAGATCAGCTCATTACAGTCGGAACTCCTCATGCAGTCTTGGGCAGTCTCTGGAAGAGGCCATCTGCAGGTCGGGACAATGAGTCAAGACACATTATTTGTGTTAGGGCTGGTTGGTTTTGTTCCTCTAACTCCATGCTGTCACAATGATAAGTAACTAGACTATCTCATTGAAAAGATAACTGTATCAACATTGCCATAACAGTCCCAGGATGAAAAGTAAAAGTTATTTACTTAATTCATAGTGTGGATATTTTCTAGGATGTTTACTTATTCCTTTTGGTTACCCCCAAAATATTGTGGACTTTTATTTATTTTTTCTATGAATTTGATGCAGATTGAATCGGCCAAGGAGCTGAACAGGAGGAGATCACATCATTGCCAAGAAAAATACTCCACTACAAATCCTCATCCAACTTGTTTGCTTTTTTAAATTTTTTTTATTGTGAATTAAGCATCCAACATCTTTTTATGCTATTATGTTTGGGGCCCAATTTAGTGTCTACTACCTTATTTCATTCCCTTCTAAACTGTATCCAATCGAGTGGATTGATTTCGGAGTTACTAGAATCTTTTATACTTAATCTCATACTAGTCCATGCAAGTTTCCACAGGTCACAAATGATCCGCTATTGGTAATGTCATATGGTTCAATGCATACAGCTGAAGCTAGTCTTTGAACATCAAACTGGGACAAATAAATAGAGTTCCCTGGAAAACACCAACTCTTGAGAATCCCAGTGTGAAAGCAGAAATACAAGAGGACCCCAGGACCTGTAGCCCACCTGGCTAACTAGCGACCAATTGCTCTTTAGTCAACGTCAGCTCATGGTGACTCCATGTGGGTCAGAGTACAACTATGTTCTGTAGGGTTTTCAGTGGTTGTTTCAAAGAGAGCCCATCCCCCATCTTAAATTTAAGGAGAATATGTATTAAGTCTTAAAAGACAGTCGTCCAGATGAGCGAAACCATTAATACAAGGTCAAGATGGCATCATAATGCTTACTTTGGGGGGAAGCAGATAACCAGGTCTTTCTTTCCAAGGTGCCTCTGGATAAACTTGAACCTCCAACATTTAGGTTAGCAAACCCCACTGCCATAGAGTTGATTCTGACTCATGACAACCCTGTAAGACAGAGTTGTACTGCCCCATAAGGTTTCTGAGACTGTATTGTCTTTTCAGAAGCAGACAGCCTCATCTTTCTACTGCTGGGCAGCTGGTGGGTTTGAACTGTTGACCTTTCAGTTAGCGGACCACGAATTGACCCACAGCATCATCAGGTATCCTTCTAGCAAGTTATTTCACTAGTCTCTGAAGCAAAACACAAGTGTGTCCTCCATTTCCCTCCTCTCATTACCCTCACACTGGGACTGCCGAAAGCAGATATAAACACCGTTTTCCCCCCTAAAATGTCAATTGAGAAATTGGCACGAGTCGGTTCTAGAAGTGTGCACTCGCTGCCCTTTCACACTTTGAAAATGCTCCATTTCCAATGAGTGATCGAGTCACCCAGCCACTTGGGACTGTTTGTCTTCTCGCTTTCAGTTATCCCTGAGAATTCTGTGAAGGAGTTCCACAGAGCGCCAGGGACCATCAAAGACACAATCAAGAAGCTGCTTGCTCACAAAAAGAGCATGAGAAGGAAGGGAAAGATGAAAAATGTCATCCCGGAGTGCACTGGGACTCCTCCCCCAAAGGGTAACTTGCAGCCATTCAACCATGAAGAGAGTGTTCATCACAGCAGGAGCTCTACCGGAGCGAAAGGAGGGCCTGGGGAGAGAAAGGAAGAGGGCCTTGAGGAAGAGAGAAGAGCCGAGAAAGCCCTGAAGAACCAAGTACATCGGGAGCAGAGCCTTCGAGGAGATGTGTTTTGTGAGTAACCCTTTCATGTCCTGCATGTTATGGAAAATGACGTGATTCCTCCTAGTCAATGAGCGAGGCAGAGACAGTTTCATGGCTTCAGAACAAGGTTGCTGTTGGTAGTTGCCATCAATTTGCCTCTGACTCATGGTGAGCTTAGAAGCAGAACGTAAGTCACCTGGTCCTGCACCATCTTTGTGACTGGAGGTATGTTTGAGTCCACTGCTGTGACTGCCGAGTACAGAAGGTAGGCTTGGCCTTAAATCCTGCAATATGAGGCTCTCCAGGAGTTCTGGAAACTTTACCATCTTACTCAATTCCATAGGGCAGTGGGGCAGGGTTCCTTTCTCCTCTGACTTCCAGCCAGTTGATGTATTTGTCCCTAAAACACTCTGCTCTGTCTGCCAAGCTATCCTCATGGTGACCCCTGTGTGTCAGTGTGCTGTGTGCTCCATAGCGGTTTCAATTGCTGACTTCTCAGAAGTCGATAGCCAGGTCTTTCTTCTGAGGCACCTCTGGGTGAACTTGAACTGCCAACCTTTTGGTTAGCAACCTAGCATGTTCACCATCTGTGCCATCAAGGGACACTTATCCATGCTGGATCCCTCCCATGTTGGTGTTTTTACATCCATCCTATGAAAACTGTGTGACACAGAAACTCTTCACAGTTGCATGTTTATGATTGAAAACAACTAGATCATTATAAACTGAACACTGCTTTTGAGTGGATTCAGATGTGTAGTGACCTTTTATAGGGATTCCAAGACTGTAAATCTTTATGGGGGTAGGTGGCCTTATTTTTTATGTCTCAGAGCAGCTGGTGGGTTTTGAACTTACTTTGTGGTTAGCATCCCAATGCCTAATGCACGGTGCCACAAAGGGGGAAAAAATCTCACATTGAAGCTTAATAATTCTGCCAGAACTGGATTGATATCATAGCCCCCTTTTCCCTGGCTACTGTACATACAGAACCCTCAGGAAGTCTCAGCACCTCCAAGAAGGTTTCCATGTTAGCCCACCCTGAGACATCCACACTGAGACTTTTCCAGCTCATTCTTTTTTTTCTCCCTATATTTGAAATGAACTTGTAAGTTATTAAAGACTCCCAAGTCCACTTCAGTTTTACTTTCCCTTCCTTTTCAGCCACTCAGACCAATATTTAGATGCAAGGGACAAGGAATCCAAAGGGATCCAGCTCGTTCTTACAGAGCATTCTGTAATACTAGACAATACTAGTTTTGTCTATTAAAATACCAATACTAGACAAAGTCTCCTCCATACCTGGTAACCATACACACACACACACCAGCTATTTAACCAATGAAAAGGAGACACGGACTGTGTTATTCCAGGTTGACTAGAGAAACAAATTCGTGGACATTCATATGTGTACAAGAAAGAACTTTATATAAAGAGTAATTGTATATTGAGAAAACATCCCAGCCCAGTCCAGATCAAGTCCATAATTCCAATATTACCCCATATGTCTGATACCTAGCTATAAATTCCTCTTCAGACTCAGGAAACACATGCAATGATGCCAAATGCAGGAAGATGACAGGCCAGTGGGTGGGAAGTTTTATGGATCCTGTGGCAGTGGAAGCATCTCAGCACTGTCAGAGGTCTCCACGTGGCTACTCCAGCTCTAGGGCTCTAGCATAGCTCCATGCGTCTTGTCAATAGGAATGTCTCGCAGAGAGTGAGTGTGGGTTTGGCCTCCAGTGAGCTATTTATCTCCTTAGTGCCTCCAAATGAGGTCATCAAGCTGTGACCTGAATGACAGGCCAGACTTCACCCCTTCCTCAAGTTGGCAGATTATGTAACTGCCACACGGACCATCCACCGAAGAAAGTCTATTTTCAAAATCTGGTGAGAAATCCATAGAGTAGATGCTCAGATTGCTGGGGGGGAACTTCTGAGGACAGAGGTGTTCTAGATAAGGAATCTGGAACCAATAGAAATGATGTGGAAACCCTTCTCTAGTACATTTTAGAATCAGAGCGCATGATGCCCCTCTATGTTCAGTCAGTCATTCAATATTACGTGTAGACATCAGCCAGACAAGCAGGATCTCTGTCCTCTACTCATCATTCAGTCATCATGTGTAAACTGGCTGATCACATGAAGTTTCATCCTCGTTCAAGCAGGAGGCTGCCAAGCCTAACAATAACAACAACAGAGCAAACCTCACTGTCATCCAGTCGATGCCAACTCAGAGCGACCCTCTAGGACAGGGTAGAACTGCCCCTGTGAGTTTCTGAGCCTGTCACTCTTTACAATAGTAGACAGCCTCATCTTTCTCCTGGGAACTGGCTTGTGGTTTCAAACCGCTGACCTTGCAGTTAGCAGCCCAATATGTAACTGATACACACCAGGGCTCCTAAACCTGACGATAGGTAGTTGAAACTATTTTCAGGTGACAGGGCAATTTTTCTCAAGCCCTTTGAGTCCGTCTTTTAGTTCCCCTAAAATTGCATTATGTATATTGTTTATCTCCACTTGCCTCCATAAGAAGAATTTTTAAAAATATATACCCAGTCAGAATGTTCCAAAATTATTTTTAGTGCTTCCTAATCTGTAGTGAGGGTGAAAATAACTCTTTTTGCCTTCCCCCTACCCCCTACCCCCTGAGTAATTCTCAGGGAATAATTATGGCATTCTGTTTAATTTGATTACTATAAAAGAAAACATGTTTATTATGAGGCAAATCTACTTATAGCCTCTATTAAACACAGATGTCAGGCTTTAATACTTTTTTTAGTATAAATCCTGAGCACCCTCTTCCTGGGAGGGCCACAGCCTGATGAAAATAATTGTTTCGGCCATTCCCTCTGGTTCCCAGCTGTGCAGAGCAGACAAGCTGGAGGGTGCAGGGCTCCCCCAGATTCATGGACCCTGGAGCCACCCCAGGGCCCTTCCTTCCTCTATCAGTCTGGGGCAGGGGCTTTGCTTTTCAGGGTTGGCTCTGTATGGAATGTTTTGTGGGTCCATCAGAGTCTGAGGATAATGGCTTTATCTGGGAAGGGAAAAGACCACCGATGTGCCCTTCCAAGTCTATTAACCCCAGCTTGCCTACCAGGAGGGGAAAAGTCCTACCAGAAACCCCATCAGGAAGTGCTAGCTCTCTTCTTGTGGTCTGCTTAAGGGCTATTCCCCTTGGCACTGGGCTTCGTCCAGAGTCCTAAGGAGGTGCAAATCGTTAATCTGTTTGACTGCTAACTGAAAAGCTGGTGGTTCGAGTCTATCCAGGGTCCCCTCAGAAGAAAAGGTTGGCTATCTACTTCTAAAACGTCAGCCATTGAAACCCCTGTAGAGCACAGTTCTACTTTGGGACACACAGGGCCACCAGGAGTCAGGGTTGACTCCACAGCAACAACTGTTGGGGGCAGGGTGAGACTGGCAGTGGTGGTGGTGACGGTGGTGGGAATGAAGGTGAGGTTCTGGTGGTGGAGGTGAGGTCCTGGTGGTGGAGGTGGAGGTGATGGTAAGGGTGGTGAAGGTGGAGGAGGAGGTAGAGGTGGCAGTGGTGGTGGTGGTGCTGGTGGGCTTAGGCCAAGGCACAACAGGGGAGGGGGAGGGTGAGACTGGCAGTGGTGGTGGTGACGGTGGTGGGAATGAAGGTGAGGTCCTGGTGGTGGAGGTGGAGGTGATGGTAAGGGTGGTGAAGGTGGAGGAGGAGGTAGAGGTGGCAGTGGTGGTGCTGGTGCTGGTGGGCTTAGGCCAAGGCACAACAGGGGAGGGGGAGGGGGAGGCGGATTTACCATGAAACCAATAAAATTTAAGTTGGGGTGGAACTTTTTTTCCATTTTTTAGCTCCCATTTTTTAAAACTTATTTTATTGGGGGCTCGTACAATTCTGATCATAATCCATACATACATCCATTGTGTCAAGCACATATGTACATTTGTTGCCCTCATCATTCTCAAAACATTTGCCTTCCACTTTAGCCCCTA